TAGCCTTGAGCTGAAGAGCTGAGGGACAGTGCCCAGACCCAGAGTTCAGGCCCCACAACTGGACCCAAAAAAAAAAAACTTTACTAATGTACAGAGGGGTACAGTTACATAAGTCAGAGTATACTTCTTTTTTGAACAATGTCACCCCTTCCCTTCCTCTCTCACAGTCTCACAGCACCTTTGAAGTAACATTATCTACTACATCTTGAATATGACAACAAAGATGTGAGACTTGCTTTTATAGTCTCCCAAGTTGGCACCGAATGATTTCAGGGTTCCTATAATATCCCTCCTTCCCTGCCCACCATATATAAAGCAATGCCCTGACCTGCAGATATGCAGTCTCTGGCCCTCAAGAGGGAGAGGTGTAGTCTTTAAAAAGAGAACTGGCCTTGCTTCCTGGGCCTGAGCCTGAGTGTGTGTTGCTGGAAGTTGCTCACCACTGGCACCACGCAAGGCCCTGCAAACTGCGGTGGAGGTGGGAGGGTACGGGTATGAGGGTACCTCTCTGAGAAGGAGCCATTGCCTGCCCAGGTCTAACGCAAGTGGGATGTGAGCCCAGGGGAAAAAAAAAAAACAGGAACTATGGAAGCCAGAGCTCCTCTAAGAAATAAGACCTCGGTGGGTCTCCATGTTCAACGGGGTCCATACATGCCCAAGAGAGCGAGATTGACAGGCTGGAGGTTCCAAATCCCAGCAACACTAGCAAGTCTCATCATTTCCTATTTTTTGAGATAGGACCTCCCTGCATATTACAAGTTAGACTGAAATCCACATCCAGCTCTGCTCTTTCTTTCTTCCTTCCCTTCCTTCCATCTATCCATCTGTCAGTACGGGGTTAAATTCAGTGCCTAGGTGCTGTCCCTTAGTTTTTTTGCTCAAGGCTAGAGTCACAGCTCCACTTCCAATTGTTGTGTAATATAATCTTACTGTTATGTACATGTCATAAGTCAGGTAATGAGTACATTCCTCTTTTTGGACAATATCAAATCTTCCTTCACTTTCCCCCAGTTTCCCCTCTCATCCCTGCCTACAGTTACATAAGTCATTTTTCACAGTGTATATTGAATAGCATGACTGCATTTATTCACTCTTCTTCCCTCCCTTGCTGCCCCCTTCCTTTCCCTCAAAAGGGGGAAAAAAAAAAAGGAAATCCAAATATCACCACCACCAACAACAAAACAGGGCCAGCTTTTTGGCAGTTAATTAGAGAAGAGGCTCATGAACTTTCCTGCCTGGGATGACTCTGAACCTTGATCCTCAGATCTCAGCCTCCTAAGTAGCAAATTGCAGGCATGAATAAGCTAGGCATAGGCTGTTCCTCCTCCCCTTCCTCTTCACCTCCCCTCCTCCTCTTCCTCCTCCTCCTCTTCCTTCTTCTTTCTCCTTCTCCTTCTTTTTGTGGGTTGTGGACCTGGGCACTGTCCCTGAGATCTTCAGCTCAAGGCTAGAGCTCTACCACTTGAGCCACAGTGCTACTTCCAGCTTTCTCTACTTATGTGCTGCTGAGGAATCAAACCCAGGGCCTCATGCATGCAAGGCAAGCACTCTACCACTGAGCCACCTTTCCAGCCTTCTTTTTGTTTTTCCCCCCTCAAACTCACAGCCTCATGCTTGCTAGGCAAGTGTTCTACCACCTGAGCCACGCTGTTAGCCCTTTTT